GGATCGGGCAGTGTTTCGTTCTGCTGTGCATGGGGTCGCTATGAGTCGGAAACGACTCGACGGCACTTAACAACAACAACAACAACAACAGGTTGTAATGAAGGAGCTCTGTTGCTGTAGCGGTTAAAGTATTTGGCTGCTAACCAAAAGGTTGGTGGATTGAACCCACCAGCTGCTCCATAGAAAAAAGATGGGGCAGTCTGCTTCCGTAAAGATTTACAGCCTTGGAAACCCACTGGAGGTCTCCACGAGTCGGAATCAACTCAATGGCAGTGAGTTTGGTTTTGGTATAGGTTCTAACCAGCTAGTTTTCAGTCTATTTTAATTATGGCTATGAATATTAATAAGAATGCATAGGAGTGATAGTTAAAAACTCAGGGGTATAATAAAATAGGTAATACTTACTGAGCATTTTCATAGTATAGTTAATACTTACAAAGCCTTTTAAGATTATCTCCTTTATTCTTCACAACCCTAGGATTGGCCCTATTTTGAAGCCTAAGGGCGCCCTTAAGTGCCATCAAGGTCACATAGATAATAAGTGCAAATAAATATACTATAGCTTGACAACAATTCACCATCAGGTATCACCAGTTCCAAAGTCTGAGCTCTTAACTATCCTGCCTACAAGGTAAGCAACCTGACACTCACTCTAGGTGAACACAGCATTCCCCAGGCTAGATTTTGTGCTTAGGTCTTCATCAGTTTGAATTTTCATTAAATAAGCTAATCTCATAGGAGTGCCAAATAAAACATTGTGAGGTGGTGTCAAAGGAGATTTGCATTTTTAGTTATTTCATAGTTTCTACACTGATGATCAGTCTCTTTGATAGATTATTAAGAATCACAAAGATGTCAGTGATGCCACAGCACTCAGAATGGCAGAAAAACTTCAGATTTAAAGGCAAACCTTATTATTCCATGTTATGTTCTTACATTAAATGTTTGTCTGTAAAGTTAATTTACTGAAACTTTAAAGAAAATATCCAAATCACTCTGTGTACTTTTTTGGGTACCAAGAAAATAAACTTACTATATTGATATCAGCCATATTTCCTGCTCACTTTAAGAAAAACCCAACTGTTGACATAAATATAAATAAATAACATAACATACCTCTTCTATACTGGGAGGAGGTTTACATGATGGAAAGAATATATAATTGATACATCTCAAGAGGCCTTTCCCAATATAAATGGCAAGTGGGATGGCAAATAATGCAGCACAAATTCCAGCTATAATCCAGGTTATAGAAGTATTTCCTAAAAATGAATAAATTACGTTTAGCATCAGTACAGGTTTTGACACACAAATGCTTTAATAGTGCTGACAGCTTGTGTGAAAGACTATCCATATGAAAATAAATATTTACATTTATTAGACAGTATCTTTAAAAACATTTCTGGTAGCATTAAGTATGTAGCAGCTGTAGGAAATGGCAGTTTTATTTAAAAAGCAGCCTAGAAACTAAAATAAGATGTCCTTAGCTAAGAGTACAATATTGACAATATAGGTCCCAACATGCAAATAATTCTCCAACACTTTCTCTACAAAATAGAATTAGTAAAATTTTAAAAATATTCTGTGACTAAGCATCTACAAGTCAATACAAACTGAGCCTAAACTATTCCTATTATAAAAAAAAATCTGTGTTGAACTAAACTGATTTCCTCACAACTGGACCAATAAGCAAAATCATGATAAATGGAGAAAATATTGAAGTTGTCAAGGATTTAATTTTACTTGGATCCACAATCAACACCTACGGAAGCAGCAGTCAAGAAATCAAATGATGCATTATATTGAGCAAATCTGCTGCAAAAGACTTCTTTAAAGTGTTTCACAGCAGAGATGTCACTTTGAAGACTAAGGTGAGCCTGATCCAAGCCATGTTATTTTTAGTAGCCTCATATGCATGTGTGAGCTGAACAACAAATAAGGAAGACCACAGAGGAATTTATGCATTTGAATTGTGGTGTTGGTGAAGAATATTGAATGTACCATAGAATGCTAGAACAAATCTGTTGTGGAGTAAATACAGTTGGAATGTTCCTTAGAGGCGAGAATGCCAAACTTCATCTCACATACTTTGGTCATGTTGTCAGAAGGGGCCAGTCGCTGGAGAAGGATATCACGCTTGGTAGAGGGTCAGCAAAAACACAGAAAACCCTCAACAAGATGGACAGACACAGTGGCTGCAATGATGGGCTCAAACATGGCAACGATTGTGAGGATGGTGCAGGTATAGGCAGTATTCTGTCCTGTTGTACATGCAGTTGCTATGAGTTGAAACCAACTCAAAGGTACCTAATAACAATTGATTACCACATAATTATATTAAAGATTATGTAAAATATTAAAATGTTAAGTCTTACTAAATACTAATGAATAATTAAAGAAAATTATGTGGATATTGGATGAAATAGAAAGCAAAAAAAAAGAACTGAGTCGAGCATTAAAAATTTTTTCCAAAGCAACTACTGGTCTCTCCCTATCTGGAACAAAGAAGAGTGAAGAAAATCAAAGGCACATGGAAACAATCAGTTCAAAGGATCACGAGAACCCAAGCCTCCATAATCCTGAAACCAGAAGAACTAGATGGTAATCATCTACTACTGTAGACCACTCTGAAAGGGATTCCAACAAGGCTTCTGGATACAGTGGGAGAAAAATGTAGAACAGAATTCAAAATAATAAAAAAAAGACCAGGCTTACTGGTCGGATGGAACCCCTGAGCCACCCTTGGACACCCTTTCAAGCATGGAACCAAACTCATCCCTGGGGTTCAACTCTCAGCCAAACAATAAACAGGCCTATAAGGTGAACAAAGACAGTTTTTAGAACAATCAACCATATAAGATCAAAAGGGTAGTATTTGCTCAATAACAAAGCTCAGAAGGTAGGAAGGGATAGAAAGGGCAAATGTAAACACAGGGAAGAAGTGGTAAGAATGCTATTATATTGTGGGGATTGCAATTAATGTCATGAGTCAAAATGTTTATGAACAGATGAATAGAAAACCAGTTTACTATGTAAACTTTTACCCAAATCACAATTAAAACAAATTTTTTTTCCTAAAACTGAAAGGCAATTTTAGTTTGAAGGTTTAATTGTGATTCATGTAGTTTGTTAAGAAAAAAAAATACATGTTTACAATAAACAAATATTCTATAATTTCCAAGTATTAAATTATATTTAAGTCCTGTTACATTTTCAAAATATGATATAATGAAAGATTCTGACCTGGTCTAGTCTTCTCACACACAATATCACTAAAAACACTGCTTTTATTCCATTTTTTATCCTCGATGAGTGTTCTGGCTTTGACGCAATATACAGTCAGTGGTTGCAAATTAGGAATAAAAAAATCAGTTTTTTTGTGTAGGATTCTGAACTATAAAAACAATAAAATCATTGATAAAATTTAGTCACCTCATGAATAATTAGATATCTCACTCACTCACTCATTCACTCACTGCTGTTTGCCTATCAGACAGTTTTACTCTGTCCTATAGGGTCACTATGAGTCAGAATCAATTTCAATGGCAATTTTTTTTTTTTTTTGTATCTGTATTAGATACAAAATTCCAACTCATAGTGACCCCTCTTGGGTTTCCGAGGTGGTATCTCTATGGAAGTAGATCCCCAGTCTTCCTTCTGATGAGTGTCTGGTGGGTTTGAACCTCCAGCCTTCTGGTTAGCAGTCAAATGCCTTAGGCACTACGCCACCAGGTATACTATTTTCCAAATTCTTTAAGAAATATAAATTTGTTTTGACAACATGTTACAACCAAATCTGAAAGTTAAAAATGTTGTTGCCAGAACATATATTACTAAGACAACTCTTATTACTAAGACAACTCTAACTTATTTCATAAATCATGCTGATTCAGTTTAATTGCTACTGAATTACCTCTGGTTATTGGCAAAATGGTTAAGAGTAGGGGTTCTGGGCTAAAATTTTGTGTATTTAGGTATCATTGCTATGTGACCGTAGGCAAGTTATGTAATCTCTCAGTGCCTCACTTCCTGATATGTAAAAATGGGTATAATTATAGAGCCCTGGTAGTACAGCTTGGCTGCTAACCGAAAGGTTGGCATTTTGAACCCACCATCTGTTCCACAGGAGAAAGATGTGGTAATCTGCTTCCACAAAGATAACAGCTTTGGAAACCCTATCAGACAGTTTTACTCTGTCCTATAGGGTCACTATGAGTCAGAATCAATTTCAATGGCAATTTTTTTTTTTTTTTGTATCTGTATTAGTCAACTATTGTCATGATAACATTGTACAACAAAACCACTCCAACATTCAGTTGCTGAAAAGAGTAAGTATTTTTCTCACTCATGAGTTTATGGTTTGTCTGGCACCTCTCATTGAGGCTGTGGGTCACATGTAGGTGACCCAGACGATATGCAGGACATGTTTTTCTCCCGGCAAATAGCAGGAGCACAAAAGCCAGCCAAAGCACGTTTAAAGCTTTGATTTACATCATATTCATTCATGTTTCATTTTCTAAAGCAAGTCACTAGGCCAACTCCAGTCAGTAGAATTAGTGAGATAGGGAAGAATACTCCATGTCAAATATTTCTAAACAATACTTTCATCTATCATGTACATCATCTGGTAGGGTTGTTTTGATGAATGACTGAGAAAATTTATGTAAAATGCTTAGCTTAGTACCTGGCACGTAAGTATTCAGTAAGTATTAGTTGTTATTATTATAATTATTGACATAGGCTAAGATAAGAACTAAAATTGATTGCACCTCTTGTCAAGCAATGTGCTAGGTATTTTCATACATTTTACCTCATTTTAAATCTTATAAACATCTGAGTAATTTAGGTACTATTAATTTTGTATTAGGAAGAAGAAACAAAGCCTCCGAGAAAGTACCTTACACAATTTGAATTGTTGAATGAAAGACAAATTTACTACTCTGCAAACTTTCACCCGAATCACAAGTAAAAAAGTTACACAGTTTGGTAGTTTGAGCAAAAATACATATTTGTCTAATCTAGGGACAACTGAGGAACTAGCCATGATTCTAAATGGGCCAGATTATGCTACGGTCACATATATTCAGATAGTTACAGTGTAAGCAGCCAAGTCACTGAAATTTGCTTAGATTTTTCCAATAGAAAATGAAATAAAGTTATAGAATTCACCAACTCAACTGCACAGGATTTTTAAAGGTTGATTCTTTGACTGTAATTCTTCAAGGGACACGTGATCTAGGAATCATACAGATTATCTGATGTTTTATAATATCTGTCAGAGATTTTTGAGTTTTAGTGTTTAGAGGGTGTTACTCAACCATTTTTCCATTTCATCCCCGCCTAAGGAGCCTTTTAGATAATTTTTTTCTAATTGCTTTGACTCATGAAATTACAAACTAAGGAATAAGTTTTTGTGTGCAGGGCTGAGCTATGGAGGGCCACAAGTCATTGTTATATCTAAAATTCTTTTGCCCTCTAAGAACTGATTTTTGCCACCTTGGATGTATTACCACCTCAACAGAGAATGTATGACTGAGATCAGTGGTTCTCAATTGGAGGCAATTTTATCTCCTGAGGGACGCTGGATAACATCTAGACACATTTTTGCATGTTACAACAAGGAAGGAGGGCTAGTGGCAGTGAGAGGCCAGAGATGCTGCTAAACATCCTCCAATGGCCAGAATAGTGCCCTCCCACCACTAAAAAAAACACCAAAAAACCCAAAGGCCAAAGAATTGTCTGATGCCAATCAGTAGTGCTGAGGTTGAGAAACTCTAGTTTAGACGAATACCTGGAAATCACATTAAAAATAGTAATTCCTGAGTTTACCCAGGGATTCTAATTCAGTATGAATGGGGCTCAGGAATCAGTATTTTAATGGGGATTGGATGATGGTGATCCACAGCTACACCATGCAAAATGAAAAATACAAGTGATCTCCTGACTTACAATGAGGTTTCACTGGTTCTGTTCTGGTGACTCCATCATAAGTTGCTTCTGACTAAGGCAAATACCTCATTTTTTTAAATTCATTATTACTGCTCTTTATTATCAGTATCTTTATAAATCGTAACACTGAACATCTGTGAATGAACATCTGAGAATAACAAATTATGTGCTGCAATACTACAAAAAAAAAACGACATTCTAGGTGTAGTTCATTGTAATTTGAATACATTGTAAGTCAGAGACTAAATATTATAAATATAGACTATGTATTAATGTGCATCATACTATAAATACCTGAGTGAATCATAGTCTTAAAAATTTCTATAAAATTATAACTTCAAACTTTGTTTATTCAAATCATAGTTATAATTCTAAGTGACAAAATTAGACTATATAGTCTTTTTACCTCAGCATTTGAAGTATTCTTCCAAAAATTAATTTCATAAATAAGTGGATAATGCTGGTTCATAAACTTGTTTTCAGTGTCCTTTGGAGCACCAATATAGATATGCAGTAAATCATTAATGGGTGTCATACTAATGACTGGAGGAGGTATGATAGCTAGGAAAAAAATGTGAAGAAATAATGTTCAACTTAAACTACAAAAACAACTTTAAGAACTTGCAAAAACTGGATAATAACAATTTAATAAAAACTACTTGCTTACTTTGCATTTCAGTATCAAATTTTTTCTCTTCAGACCAAAGAGATGTGTTATTTCCATTAGATGCTTGTACACGGAGATAGTAAATTCCATTTGGGAACATTTTTTGAGGAAAGACACACTGGGTAGTTTTGACATTTTCACAGCCAGGTATTTGCTTCCATTTATCTGAATGGTTCTCAGGAATATTTTTTAAAAAAGCACTTTAAGATAAAAATATTTAAAAAAACAATGTTTAGCTTACCAATTCAATAAATATTTATAGAGTACCTGCACTATATTAGACACTCTGATAGGTGCTAAGATTAAAGAAATAAACTGTTTCCCAGTGTCACTGTCAAGAAACTCATAATACAGCAGAGGAGATGAGCATATATTTTCACTACAGTCTTAAATAAAAAAAGCATAAACAGATTGCTCCCCCCCCCAAAAAAAGTAAAGAAAAAGGGAAGGCTAACTTTTTTGAACTGAACAAGTCTGAATGAACAGACTACAGTGATTTCAAGGACTCATGGAAAAAGCAAATTCTGAAGAGATTAGGTTCAAATGTCAAGTAGTCCAGATTAGGGAAATAATACATGTAACTAGAGTCAGTAAGTACCCTAGATGCTCTCAGATTATCCTCCTTTTACAAAAAGTTAAGGAACTGAGGCCCACAGAGGTTAAGTGATTAGTTCAATATTATCCAGTTCATTTCTGGCAGAGTTGGACTAAAATTAAATCTTGTTAGTGCCCAATACTATATCATAATTACCTCTTTGTCAGTCTCTCAATTCAACAACCTACAACTCTGTGCAAGGAGCTGCAAGTTGCTTGAGTAAAAAAAGCATAATCAAACTGGGCAAAAGAAAACATATGCAATAGAACTTACTGGAACCACTGAGCTTGAAAGGTCATATCTTCATATGTATAATCCCATTTAAGAATATAGGTCTGATTTTTAGCATCAACTTCTAGATTTTCTGGTGGAGGCAGTTTATTTTCAACTAGACATCAAAGAGAACACAAGAAGAGCATATATTTTCACTTGAGTGAGGTAATATACAGTAAGAATTCTTAATAGCACAGACAAGATGAAAGATTTATATTCTATCTTTATTAAGTAATAGTTAAATAAGGTGTGTATTTATACAATGTAATACTATGCAGCTGCTTAGAAGGATGCACTAGATCTATATGTACTGGCATAGAAAGGTATCCTCAATCTATTAGGCAGAAAAATCAAAGGTAAGATATGTCTAGCATGATCCTATTTTACATATATATATGTGTGTGTGTATATATATATATATATGTTGCTGTTAAGTCCAGAAAGAAGTATGGAAGGATATACACAAACTGCTAGCAAGGCTTATCTCTGATAGAAGGAATGGGTGGGGGTGGTGGTGAAGCAGTAGAGGAAAACTTGACTTTAAACCCTTCAGTATTAATTGATTTTTAAAATAAAGCATAGTCCATTTATAGTTGAAATAACAAACAAATCCCAGCAACTAGCCTTGACTTTAGGAGCCCTGGTGACGTAACAGTTAAGTGCTAGGACGTTCAAACCTATCCAGCATCTCTGTAGGGCAAAGACCTTGAAATCTTCCAGCCTAGAAGTCCTTTAGGACAGCTCCACTTTGTCACAAAAGGAGTCACCATGAGTGGAAAATCAACTCAACAGCACTTAACAACAGTTTTGACTTTCATTATTGGTTAAGATGACACCAAGTATGTCAGGATGCTTTCATATACAACAACACTTGTTACTATGTGCTGAGTGGATTTCAACCCCATATAGGACAGAGTAGAACTGCATCATAGCATTTACAACGTTGTAATCTTTACTGGAGCAGATCACCAGGTCTTTTCTCCCGCAGAGCTGGTAGGTTCAAACTGCTGACCTTTTGGTTAAGTTCCTTTTTAACAACACTAGAACACTTTTAAACTATACTTTTTGCAAGATTACCTGTTCTAGTGGCAACTACCTCACCCTTTTTGTGGATTCTGAACAAATGATAGTAGTCCTTATAAAATATTTGTACTTTAAGCAAAATTAATTTTCATTTACTTCAGACAAAAATCCCAAATAATACTTTTTTGCTTATGTAAATGCTGTTATAAGCAGTACTTTTGTTTTAAGATCTATTATACTACCATATAAACTTCAGAAACTATGGGGAAAATGCTCAAATTAATATATTGCCAGTCTGTCATACAGTTATTGAATCTGAAGTAAAACTTCCTTCTTACCTGTGGTATTTATACAATACACTGGAGTAAAGAGACCAGTTTTTCTCTGCGAACGTAGTCTTGCTCTAACTTTTAAACAATAAGTAGTTTCTGGAGAGAGTTTATAAATTTTATCTGTGGGATAAACAGTCTCAGTCCTTTTCTATAAGATTAAAAAAAAGCATTCTTTAAAAACGTACAAAATCGAACTGTAGATTAATTCATTTCATTTTTCTCTCACATCAAACAAAGGTAAAAATAATGCTTACGTCTACAATGCCAGAAGAGTTTTTCCAGATAACTAAGCTATACGTAAATCTCGAACTATCCATAGCCCACATATGGCTCTCTCTTGTTCCAGGAGGAGAGATGTTGATTATTATTGCCTTATCTTCAGGTTCTAAATGAACCTTTGGAGGACCAATTTGAGCTGTAAAAGTCAAAATAACTATTATATAACTTAATTAATAGAATATCAAAATAATTATTCAACAAATAGTTTAGAGTGCTTAATATGTTCTTGGCATAGTAAAATAGAAAAAGTCCCTGTCTTCATGGAGTTTACACTCTAGCAGGAGACATGGCAAATAAATAAACAAACAAATACGATATTATGTGTGCTATAAAGAAAACTAATGTAAAGGGACAGAGAATGATAGGAAGTACTGTTTAGGTAAGTCCGTCAGGAAAAGCCTTTTCAAGAAAGTAACATTTGAGCTGAGATCTGCAGAAACTGAAGGATTAAACCATGCAAATACCTAGAGAACAAGTCTTCTAGGCTGAGCAAACATCAAGTGCAACATCCCTAAGATGCTTGTCATTTCGAAGACACGACAGGGAACTAGACTGACTGAAGAGCAGCAAATAAGACAGAGAGTGGCTGATAACGGTATCAGAGAGGTATGTAGAGGCTATATAGAAAAAGAAGGGCTTTGAAGTCATAACAGAGTTATTGGAGGGTTGAGATTGGAGAAGTACCATGATCTGATTGACATTTTGGAAAGATCACGCTGGTTAATGTCTGAGGAAGCAGGGAGAAAAAGAGCAGTCAGCAGTGAGAAATGAAAATGACCAGGTCAAGGCTAGTGGGAGTGGTGAAGTGAGAAGGGATCAGATTGAGAATATATGCTGTAAATGGAGCAGACAGAATCTGTTGGACTGATGTAGGATATGAGAAAAGACAAATGTCAAAGAGGACTCCAAGGCTCCTGGCCTGAGAAAATAAATAATGTTGTTGTTGTTGTTATATGCTGTCGAGTTGGCCCCAACTTATAGCGACCCCTCCTTGGGTTTCCGAGGCAGTATCACTATGGAGGTAAGGATTGCCCAGCCTTCCTTCCGAGGAGTGGCTGGTGAGTTTGACATTTCTCTTTTCTCATAGGCTCCACTTGCTGGGAACCACAAAGACATTCTTAAAACGACAACTGGAAAGGTACAACATTCCCCTTGTTACTCTTATATCTCACACCCTCTTGGTGAATGGAGGTGTGGCCATCCCTCCCTCCCACCCAATTCTGCACCGGCAGAAATTCCATCTCAGTCTGTGTACTTGAAGAGGGCCTGGGTGCCCTGCCCTGATTTTTTCCCCCTTTTTTCTGTTTTTTAGTTTGTTTGTTTTTGTCTGTTTTAAAACTACTATTATTATTATTACTTTTGTCGTTTTTATTATTACTCTTTATTCTACCCTCCCAGGTTCTAGTTTTCAGCTTGTTTTCTTTTCCCTGTTCCTGGCTGCAACTTTTTTTTTTTCTTTCTCATGCTTAACCCCATTCCTTGTTTATCTTTTTGCATTTTTCCTTTTTTTCCCCTTCATTTTTCTCCTTTTCTCCCTTTTTTCTTTAATTGCCCTCTCCCCAGACATTGAAGGTTTTTTTTTTTTTTTTTTCTTTTTTTGGTTGCTGTTCCTGTGTTATTACACAGCGTTTTTTGTCCATTTGCTTTTACTTTTTATTTGGTTATTCAACTGTTATTTTTGTCTGAGTAGAAGACAGCAACTACATTATTATGACACAACTACACCTACAACTGCTGCAGCTTCACTTATTGAGTGAAAGCCATCACTTCCCACTCCACCAATGGGCCAACAATAAACAACCACCAAGAAGAGTCTGACTCACCCTTGGCTGCTCTTCACAAACAATTAACAGAGATCTAAATACAACAATGCCATGATGTTTCGGAGAAAACAGACCATCACAGTCCACACAAAGAAGCAAGATAAAGTGGTAGACAAGGGAGCAGGACACAGACCAAGAACACATCCTTGAGGAAGAAGCAGCATTAGAACTCCCTGATAAGGAATTCAAAAGAATTATATTTAGGTATCTTCAAAGGATTGAGAGACAGACCAAGGAAAACATACACAAAACCCTAGAAGAATTTTGGGAGAAAATACAAGAACAAAATGACAAAATAAATGAAAAATTAGAAATGATTCTAAATCTAAGATAGAAATCCAGAAGATTAATACTAAATTGTCAGAATTAGATAACACATTGAAAGGGCAAAGGAGTAGAACTGATGAAATGGAAGACAGAATTAATGAGCCTGAAGACAAATACCTGAATACTTCATTGGAAAGGGATCAATCAGGAAAAAGACCAAACAAAATGAAGAAAGCCTAAGGTTCATGTGGGATACCATCAAAAGGAATAACCTATGTGTCATTGGAATTCCAGAAGAGGAAGAAAAAAATAAAACCAGTGAGAAAATTGTACAAGATTTGTTGGAGGAGAACTTCCCTGATATGATGAAAGATGAGAATAAATCCATTCAGGAAATCCAATGAACCCCTACTGGATAGACCCCCAAAAGAAAATCACCAAGACATTTTATCATCAAACTCATCAAAACCAAAGACAAAGAAAGAATCCTGAAAGCAGCACAGGAAAAACAAAAAGTTACTTACAAAGGACAACTAATAATAAGCTCTGATTTCTCAGCAGAAGCCATGCAAGCGAGAAGGCAATGGAATTGTACATATAAAACCCTGAAAGAGAAAAATTTTCAACCAAGAATTATATACCTGGCAAATTGTCCCTCAAATATGATGGTGAAATTAGGAGATTTCTAGATAAGCAAAAACTAAGGGAGTTTGTTAAAACCAGACCAACCTTACAAGAGATACTAACGGGAGTCCTTTGAACAGAGAACGAAAAATAGCAAACAACAACCGACCATTAATACACAAGATGACATAACCCAGAAACCACAGCTATAGACATATCCAAAGTAAAATAGGCTTACAAGATTGTAAGCAGGGAACCAGAGACATCAATTGACAAGTGAGGACAACTATAAACCAAAAGGAGGGAAAATACTGTGTAGTTACAGAACTTCTAAATGGTAAGAAAGTCAAGAGAGTTGCAAGACAGAATGGACTGTTCTAAACTCAGACAGAAAATTATAAATCACAGGGGAACCTCAAAGAAAAATGATAAACCTTCACACCACAATAAAAAAGAGGATAAGCAAAAATATTCAGTAAATACTAAAACAATAACAACAAAGGAAATGATAACACGATTCATAAACATAATGAGCTCAGCACAGAAAATAATATGGAAAAAAGAAACCAGGGATACCATGAAAAAACACATAACAAAATTACAGCAACCAATTCATCTGAGAAGATGCTCTGCAGTATTTCAATGTTTTTAAATTTATTAAGACTTGATTT